ATGGCAACCTTCTGCCCCCAGCATCTCCAAAAACCAACTTGCCTGCAGACCTAGACCTAGAAGGGGTTTACGGGGGTTGTTTAGGGGTTGACGGTTTTTGGAACCAATGCTCCTGCCGACCAGCTCTTGTTTCAAGGTTTCGGGTTCAGGCTTAAGGGGTTTAGGGGTTCAGGGTTTGCGGGTTTAGGTGTTTCAGGGTTTAGGGTTTCTGGAACTAGTGCTCCTATCGCCCAGTGATTAAGCCGGATTAAGCAAGGCTTGAGTGAAGAAATTCCAGAGGTGGCCAAGCAAGAAATTTCAAATCCAAGGCCTATGTAAAACACTCAGTTTCTCAAGCCGGCAAAGGCCTAGCCCAGGCAAGGCAAACCCCCCCGATTAATAATCCGACCGCCGGAGAACAATCATGTTTTTGCTTGTTGCTTGCGTTTGACTGTTGGGGGTTTAGGGTCGAGGGCTTAGGGCGAGGGTTTCGGCCCTGAGCCCCTACCTTAAACGATTTAAGGCTTTGGCCCCAAAACGTAAAGCACCTAGGAACTTAAAGTCTAAACGCAGCCTTTACACCCTAACCTCAATCCTAAAACTCAACCCCCAACCCTCAACTCTCAACCCCCCGTTAGCCGTCAGCCCGCAGATCCAGGCAAAGAGGCAGGAAGAGAGAGAGAGAGAGCGACAGAGAGAGTGAGAGCGAGAGGGAGAGCGAGAGAGGCGACAGAGAGAGTGAGAGCGAGAGGGAGAGCGAGAGCGAGATAGCTAGAGGGACATCATCATACTCGCTAGGTCGTTTCGAGCGACGAGAGTGATAGACAGGTAGACAGACAGATAAATAGATAGAGAGGTCGACAGATGTTGGACTGATGATAGATCGATAGACAAAAAGATAGAAAGATCGATCGATAGATAATTAAATACACACATATGAGATAAATAAATGGTAGATAGGCATCTAGGTAGGCAGATTAGTAGATCTGCACCATACAGTCAGGGTGTCGTAAATGGAGCGTTGCCGCACGAGCGGGCGCGAATGTAGACCTCGGCCGAGAGGTAGCGTGCGGGAGCTTGACTGGGAGCCTGGAAGACCTCACACTCATGATCTGATCGCAAGAACGACAAATCACCGTCACTGTCGGCGACGGTGATCTCGAGGTCTCGAGCCAGCGGTGAGCGGCGCTTCCTTGACTGGAAGACCCATCAGCATTCCGGTCAGCGAAAAGCGCATGATGCAAAGCACAAGTAGCCACAGAATGCAATGCAGTGGGAAAAGACCCCCTGCAATGCTGCCAACCGTTTTGCAACGAGACTGCGAGAAGCACTGGCACAATGCAAACATGCAACATCGTGCAACCATGTCAACACGCAAGGGTGTCAGAAGATGGGAGAAGGATACAGTATTGAAGGACACACGTGGCTTTGTTAGCTGCCCACACACCAATGTAAGCAGGCCAGGGCTCTGCATTGTCACATCCACTCCGTGCCCGAAAGCCTGGAAACGAAGCCTGCGACTCGCAAGGGAGCTGCTTTGCAGGGTGTTCATGCGCCATGGCCATTGCCCCCTAGGTCCGAGGGATGAGGACTTCAGAAAAATTGTAGGGTCTGAACGGATGATCGGGCAAGCCTCAGACCTTCAGCCACAACAGACCAAACCCCACTCTCCAAAATCGTACTTGCTTCTCCCCGATCCAACTTTGCCAGCGCCAGGACGACGCCAATGAGGAGGCCTGAAGTCAACAAAAAATGGCCTCAAGGAAGAGGTCTGAGCGTCGCCAATATGCTGCTGGCCTCAAGGGATCGGCCCAAGGGTTCCAGCTTGCACTCCGACGGGTTCCCGAACCGAGAAAGCTCTCGCTTTCTGATGCTGCTATTCTTTGAATAGGATAAAAAAAGTCAAGCCACTCAACGATTGCAGCAGGCTAGGGTGAGAGTCAAACAGTTCTCTGCCACTGTCGTCCACCAAGGAATACCTGACTGAGACCTGAGTGTTCCACATGCAGCTGACAGCAGCTAGCGTGTAGGTGCTGCCTTGGTCCTATGATTCGACCAAGTGACCGTTTGCAGGTCTGTTGAAGGATTGCTGGTGCCAGCTACATGGCTCGCGAACATTTGTTGGTCGCGCCTCGGTATGCCAAGCAGTGCATTCAGGTTGTATCTTCCGCAGCAAGGCGCATTTACGGGACGGCTTCCTAAGAATGTCTACTGCTTCTGTTGCAGGCAGGCAACACAGCCTTGGTTTGAATCAGGTCCTGCACATCGTTATCCTTGGCTGGAGCTCGACGGTCCCATTCACAAATCTGACAAAGCTTCTGGCCCTCGGCCCCTTGCACAGATTTAACGCTGAATACTTTGCGCCACCCGATATCTCATTTGTGCGGACCTGGTCGAGAACTGCAACTATAGGCCTATAGGCTCGCTTTGGCTGAGTTGCACACTGCTCCACTTCACGTCGTGGCCCCGCCGCTACCAGCGACACGACTAGGGCAGCGAGCGCCGCTGCCATGTTGAAGCTAAAGTGCCGCCTGGTATTGCTGCGACTCTTCCGAGCAGCAAGTGCCGAGAAATTAAAATATCAGATGCGGAGATTCCAACAAGAAACTGAAAGCTGTACAGCCCAGGCTCGTGGATGTGTTTGTTTGACACAGCTTCGAGTCGAGGAACCGGAACCCTAGGCTCTAAACTGCTGAACGTCCAGCCCTTCAAGAAAATTGCTGACACATAAGGAGCCTCGTACGAGCACAGGCGGCCATGTTTGCCGCCTTGAGCTTGCGAAAAGTTTCCGGGCTGGGGGCTAAGTTTGACATCTTTTGTACGACGGCTTGTTTGTTGAAGGCCTTATGAGGTGGCACTTATGCTTCGAGCAGTATGACCAGCTTCGTAGGAAAAAAGGGAAAGCTCCTCCTCACAGGGCGAAATGTCCTCCAGCCCATTCCCGCCCTTTCTCTCTGCAGCTCAAGCACCCGAGCACACCGAAGAGTCTTCCGGGCCTCAAAGCCCTCCTTTGAGAAGCTCCTCCTTGAGTCCTTTTGAGCTTCTGTCAAAGGCTTGATCCAAGCAATCTGCGGATGGGAAAGCAGGACGCAAGCTGACCGATCTCTGGAGATGTGGTAAGGCAGCTTCGGGTGTGTGGTTTGCGGATGCATGGACACCGTTACGACTTATCCTCCCACTTGAGAGCTGTGCACGGCACAGTGCTCTCGGAGCTCACGGCATATCAGGCAATCATAAAGGAGGACTGTAAAGATTTGTAGACCTTTCGTTGGAAGGCTGGTCTAGGGCCTAGGGTCGCCAAACTCATCTTTTAACCAAAAGCCGGCTGGACCGCTTTGCTCTGATGCCGTGCCCATGAAGCGGTGCGAAGGAAGCGCTGGATGAAGGCGGTGGCTCCAGCCAACGTGGCTTGAGCCGGAACACTTGACTTGAACAAGTGTGAGCTTGTGCCGGATCAAGGCTCAATCTGAGACCTTGGCATTCGTCAGAGGATACTTCAATGCCAGCCACGTGGGTGGCAGCTCCACGCGAGAAGTTCTGGCATCAAGACATCCCGCGCTCTTACTCATCAGCTGAGCATCTACGGCGCTGGTTGACGAGGTGCAAGCTAGAGAATGCCTCAACTAGCGCTTCACCAACTGTTCAGGCCTCTTCTTGCGATAGATAGGCCCGTCTTCGTCCTCCTCCTCAGACCCCTTGCCGTGCTCCAGGGCCTGGCTTTCGGCCCTACGAGGCCATGCAGGAGAGCATCTGAATCTCCCTAGGAACGGTGCCTTCTTATCGATCTGCACATGCTTGACAGCTCCCTTCGAGCTTGGGATCTGGATAGCATCAGGACCTCGGCTAGACTGGCTCCCACGAAGTCAGAGGAGAAACCTTCAAAGATCCGACTGCCCACAAAGACCACCAACGAGCCCCGGGCGATGAGCTTCCAGCACGGAGGTCGTGATTGGTCCTTGCAGCTCGTGGCTTCGATGACACGGATCCTGAATATGCTCTCTCGTGGCCCGAAGCGCAGCTTCGGGCTGGACTCGACTAACAGCCTTTAGATCCAAGAAACAGGAAAGAAAGTCTGAAAGAACCCACGAGCCACAAGAGCACAGTACTGAGTACTGCCATGCATTCAGTCCGGAGCCAGACGCCATGATCGAAGAGCGACAGTGAGCCGATGTGTGTTTAGCACCTGTTGATGCCTGTTGGTGTCAGCTAAGCAGGAATGCACCTGGGTCCATCTACGTGTTGATACCCCCAGGCCCAGCCCTTCGAGAGGACAACTATGTTGCAATCCGGATACAATGCCAGTCAAGGTGAAGACCCAGTTGAGGAAGCCACTCCGCACTGATTATGACCCCCTGTAGTCGCGGAGCGTACGCAATTTCATGCCTGTCACTGAATAGCTGCGGCTTACCTGCTCAAACGCAGCATGAGCAACGAGCATTTACAGCGTGGCGGTAATTACAAGTGCTGGCGGCAGCATGGCTAGCACTGGCTGGAGACAATCTGCGAACTGACGCGTCCAAGACCGTTTACGAGTCAGGACAGGACTCTGAGGATTCTTTTGTGCGCGTGCCTGGATGTCTGGGTGAAACACAAGGGCTACCTTACAAGTGGCCATGGAGTGTCCTGCATGCCAAGATTTCATCGTCGCGTAGGTCTGGGCGCCGGTTCGCACGGCTGCTCTGCGGTCGTTCGAGGGCCCAATTCAGTGTGCGACTGATTTTCCGACGTGCTCGCCAGGAACTGCACTTAGTGCAGTTCGTCATTGACGTGGTAAGGCGGCACAGTTGTTAAGCATACAGTAGCTCCCAAATGCTTTGAATGACGCTGGAGCGCGATTTCACACGGGTTCAGCAAGAGCTGGTCTTGCCAAACAAACATGGCTTGAGACATCTTGAGACTGATTCGACAGACGGCAGCTTCCTCCTGGCCCCTAGTTTTGCGTTCATGTGCGTTTGTATAGCAGAACAAGATGCAACCCCGATACTGCATCCTCCATGAGCCGCAAAGCTTGAGGGAGGAGGACCTTGCCTACATGTGTGTAGGGCTGAGGCAGAAGCATCGCTTGCAGCAGAATCCTTCAGGGTGAGTGGTCTTCGAGGCTCACTGATATATATCGACAGCACCACCTGTCGGGCAATTGCAGTATCGGCGGTCGTGGCCAATCGGATTCTGCTGCGGGATGGTCTCCCCTTCAGTCCTACTTGCCTGCAAGTCATTTGATGTGGCTCATGAGCTCGTCCCGGACGAAGCTTGTGACCTGGTCTCAGCTTCGGAACCCTCCTCCTTTCCTGAAGAGCAGTTGATGCTGGCGCGAACAGGCTGACGATGCAACAAATTAATTCCCGTCGTTCGGATTACACGTTCACCAAATGAACACTGAAGCCTGAAAGCCCCCATGCGGCTGCGGAGCAGAAGGTCCAGCGGCTCCATCTGAGGCTCGCAGCATGACAGTGTCCTCAAGGCGCAGAGCTGGCGAAAGAATCGGGAGATTCGAGTTCCCATGTCATGTCGTTGGGGCTGCACAAGCACCCAAGTCCCTACCAAGTGTTTTGCATCCAGCCAAGGTCCCCCCCTACCCAGGACGGGGCGCGTCTCTGAAATGGCCAAGGTCGTATCAAACTTTAACTCGTACTGTATCCCCCAGCTGTCAAGGATCCTGGCAATATACTTGAATTAACTCTAACCTTTACCTGTCACCTACGTCGCCAGATGCAGTACTCATGACCGCAGAGGCAACAATCTGATCATTTACTGATCCACGACCCATTCGGGCAACTTTCTCCATCTCCTGGAAAACCACGTCAATGTGGGAGCAACAGAAGGAATTGAATAATTACACGGCTCAGCAGCCTTAGAAACTGTACGCGCAACCTGGATTCATGCAAACACTCTCATCAGACTCCTCAGACTCAAGACCACCTGTCCCACAGATGCGCATTGCGCAAGCACTGAACGCCCTCGACTTTATCCGACCACAGCAAGAGGAGGTCAGCGCCATAAAGGAAGGGCTCGCCACTGAGAGCGTGAAGTGCTTGCTGCCAGCTGCTCCAGTCGCAGTCTTTGGTAACAGTCGGAGTCTGACATACCAAACCGCCGACTCACGAGACTGCATCCGGTGCCAGGGCTGGTTCGGCATCGAATGAACCAAGTGACTCGCTTCGCAGCAGAGCAAGACTACTAGTTGCGAAGTAGCACAACATGCACAATGCCGCCTAGACTTGAAACCCATAGCTACTGGCGGACCAGCTGGGCTGGCTGCATTAGTTGCAGTCATCATGTCTGTTTGAACGCTCTTGAAGCCAAGTCACGCCCTCTGACGGCTTCAAGCCGCCGTTGTCCTGCCAGCACACCACC